ATATCTATAGTTATCTATATGCTATCGTTGTTCGTGGTCATATGACTTTATTATAAAATCACGTGGTGATCTACATCTGAAATTTCGGACTGTTTTCGAATTGTGCGGTTTATAGATGATAGCCACCATAGATTGTGTGAATTATATTGTTGCGGTTGTGAATACGTGTACAGTGGGATTAAACAAAGCTCAGTGCTATGAAAACGGCAAAGATGTCCAATATTTAGATCTTAATTCTGTATTGAGAATTTCTTTAAAAGGTTCAGTGGTTTACAAAAATATCAGCATTTTGTATTTGAAGCAGCCAAATCTGGTGTTTTCCAAGCACAGATAGTTGCAAATGGTGCTTTACTGGATTTAATTTGTTAAAACTAGAAAAGTGTGTGTTCTGAAATTACCAAATAAATTAAATCCTTTTTCCATTACCACCGTTGGATTACAAACGTCGAGAGTACCTCTATAAAAATATTCGCCCATTTGTAAGAGATGAATTCAAGAACATTACTTGTCCAAGACCAACCTATACTGATAATGAATAAAATATTTCAGTCAACTGCATATTTAATACTTTATTAATTTTTGTTCGTTTCTGTTAAATTCTTTATATTTAATTTTTTAATAACGTTAATATTAAAAATATAATAGAATAATGACAAGTTGGCAGCAAAATAGCAACTTCAAGCAAGATAAGATGTAGATTCGCGATGGTAAAGGCTCAGAACGTGGACTGATACTCCTGATTAGGACTGACCAGGAGCTCCCTCAGTTAAATAAAAGAAATGTTACCTTAATCTTTAAAGTTTCAAAATCTTTTGGATTGAACACTTCCGCTTCTTTTAAAAATCTGTGAGTGCAATTGCTGGGTCTGCAGGTGGGTTTTTAAAATTTTTATTAATGGCCAAAGACTGGGTCAAGTTTGAATCGAACTCCGCGAAGTCGCCACTGCCGTTTGTCAAGTGCTGCTTCTCCAAAAGACTGATCCAAGCGCCGTCGAGGCCGTTGCACTTATCCAAAAAAGTGGTGACAATACAATGACATCACGGTAAAGAGTCAAAAACTCATAGTACGACCAGCCCAGCTTGTGTGCTCGTTCAGGTAAGAGCGAAGACCTGGAAACGTCAAACATAAGCTTGGAAAGAAATATTCGGATTACAAGTTGAACCACAAATTTTACCAATATAACCAGGATCATTAACCCTGACTCGTGCTCTTCTTTCTCTGACTTTTCCTTTCCTACCTCTTTCAACTCTCCTTGTTCTTGCAGGTGGCATTTTGAGCATAGATAAGTATTACTATTATTTTCATGCTTTACTTGATTTTTATTATATTATGAAGACACGTTGGTGAAGAAAATAAAGTCAATAGAAACAGTAATAAAATTCTAACACGATTATACATTGAACAAAGTTTAATAACAGTCTTCTTCTTGTTAATAGTCTTCTGTATAGTGTCAAACTTAATTTTCCTTGCCACTTTAAGAAATTGTTAACCTTTGCCAAACTACGGCCCGATACCGAAACATCCTGACCACATTCAATGAAGTAGTTTGCGGGCATTTTGTTTTTTAGTAAATAAATCATAATCAGTTTTTAATTTTGGAAGTGTTGGTAAAGTTTAAAGACCGTGAATGGCAGGTGCTTGAGAGGTAATCGTACAATTTTGTTTGTCATATAGGGAGAAGCAAGAAATATTTGTTGCAGTTAAATTTGTTTCTCAAACGTGCGGTGGGTTGAGAGTGTTAGGACGAGCTTTGAAAAGTGTAAACAAACGAAATTTGTGCGCGTTTAACAAATTTCTAGCGGAGAATTTTGAAACATATCCGGGATTTGGCTACTTGCTCGGCCCTATGTTTACCAAATGTCTATTACTATGGATAAACATAATAATAAAGCATCCTCATCATGCTAAAATGATAGTCGCAACAGTATTTTACTAGTACTCCTTCTAATTCGTAGTTTTTTCAAACCATAAGTGTGACGGCGTTTATCAGGTTCTCAGTCAGTATCATTCTCTTTCTATTGATCTTACTCTGTTTAATCAGACGATGCTTTTTAGCTTTTCTGTTGGTATGGGCCAGAAAAAATAAAAAAAAAAGATATCTTGCAAATGGATAAAAGACGTAATTATGATTTCAAAGAAACACGAACTCTATATTTGTTCAATATGACAATGCGGGCATGTTACGAGAATCATATAAAGACGTTTTCGCTACTGATTTATTTCGCGATCTACAACTCGATATAAATACTCGGACGGTTAGAATCGCACTCATATGCTATCGATCCTGGCGTGTTATGTACGTATAAACATGTTAAAAAAAGGAAACGTGACATACGCCCGACTGTTGCCAAAGACACAGGGCGTTGTCTAATTCGGTTAGTTTTGTTGTAAGTAGCATTTATTCTTACTAACCGTTATCACGTTGGCGGATCGCGACTTTCCGAAAAGAGGATAATTTAGGAGCATGTGTAAATCTTGTTATCTCACATGACGTATCACCTGAGCATAACTTTTGGTCAAAGGGATAATGAAATTGAAATTTGCAAATGATTTATTGATTGATTTAAATCAACTAAAACTTGACACTTTTTTATTATACAGAGGAGGAAGAGAAAGAAGAGGAAGGGGAAGAAAAAAGTTGCCATTATAAGCAAATAATGTCTTTTTGGTTTTTTTTTGCATCATCTCAATCATACACGTGTTAGCTTTTTCTTCAATACTTTTTACGACCGTATTCTCCTGCATTAAAATCGTCGTCTTTTTCTGCCCACTCATCCCCCCGCCATGCATCAAATCTTATGATTCCACCTTATCCCATACTACTCGTTAATCCACCCCCACCCCCACCCCCTCCATCCTCGACCTCCTTCCGTCCAAGTGTCTTGAATAATTGTCCTTCTTATGCTTTTCCTCCATAAAAAAATATATAAACAACGAAAAAAGAAAAGTTATATGTATACATAATAATTACAAGATTGTTATGATTGTTTATAAGTACAGTTAAGGGAATCGTCCCAGCACGGTTTTCCAGAGTTTTCAGACAGAATGGAAGCGAGATATTAACGTGTTGTCTTTAGAGAATCACACGTAGGATGAAGATGTGGGAGGAAAGAGTGAGTGAGAGAAACAGAGAAGAAATGAGTATGATTTGAAGAAAAGCGCCCGATAAGGAATTGATGTAAAACAATACTCCCAGTTTCTCTCTATCTCTCTCTCTAACTCCCTCTCTCCCTCTCTCCCTCTCACTCCCATTCCCACTCCCATTCCCACTCCCTCTCCCACTCCCTCTCCCTTCCCATTAAATCAGAATATGTATATATACATATCACTGTACCCGACACCCACATCTCAGTTCTTTAACTTTTCTCCGGATACTTTTACTATGGCGCTCGCCTTCTTTCCCAGCCGTTTGAGCATTAATCTGTCGTATAACGTCATAAAAGATCTCATCTATATTTGCTCTTTGTCGTGCCGAGGCTTCGTAAAACGCACAGTTGCCCCATCCCTCAGAAAGCGCGCGGCCTTGTTCGCGAGTTACCGCACGATCATCTTCCATGTCACATTTGTTTCCCACTAGAACCATTGGTACCTGAAACGAGTAAGGGGAGAACAAGGAGAGGGCGGAAGCCATTTAGTTATCATAGGGGTGGGTTTGTGAGTTGAAAAAACGAGTGAGAATGTATTATAATTTTTTGCTTCGGTAAATCGTTTCGCTCTTGCATGTAATTTTGCAAATTCGTGTAACAAACATAATGCCGATTAAAGATTTTCAACGCAGAGCCATTGAAAGGGGGAAGAGAGAGAAAGAGAAAAGGAGGTTTTGATTGGGGGCGTTGTGTGTTTGTGTGTTTGCTTTCTTTAAGTGTGGGTTATACCGCATGCATTGGTCGTATATTGAAAAAGGAATTGCCGCATACTTTTTTTGACCATGTCCCATTGTTTAGACCCTGCATTTTTACATTTGCGGACATGTTCGTCTATCCTTTTTATGCACGCTTCGCCCCTGTCTCTTTCTTTCTTTCCTTTCCTTTCCCTTCTCTTTTTTTTTTTTTTCTTCGTTTCCCTTTTTACACTTACCCTATCGGTATTTTTTACTCTTAAAATTTGTTCTCTCAATGCAGCCAATTCGTTTATCGATCGTTGGTCAGTAATTGAAAACACTAGAATAAATCCTTCGCCTTGTTTTAAATGCAAGTCTCTTCTGTCGGCAAATCGTTCGTTTCCTGCCGTGTCGAGTAATTCCAACATGCATGACTGGCCGTCGATTTCTGCTTGTTTTCGATATGAATCCTCTATTGTCGGGTCGTAGCGTTCTGGGAAGCTCGAATGAACGAATTGAACAGTCTGATGAAATTGTGAGAGTGTTAATAGTTAATTAGATGCGCATATGCGCATGTATAAGGTTTCTCATTTGAAATTCTTTTTTTAAAACGTACCAAGGAACTCTTTCCAACGCCTACGCCACCCAATATGACCAGTTTATATTCTTTTGTTGGTAATGCCGAAGCTCGACTCTGTCGTGCTGATACTTGACCACTTGCTGATGTGCTTGAGTAAGCATCTGCATTTGTAGAGCTTGGTCTTCGACGTCGAGGAAAGCAAGCAACCACTAAAAAGAAAACATGTAAAAGAAAACATGTATGTGAGGACAAGTTGATATCAAGCTTGACGATTGATCACAAATACAGATTATTATTTTTAATACCGACTTTCTTATTCTCGTAATGTTTTGGGGTTTTCCTTAATATTAACTCGCAAAGGCTGAAGAACAAGTTCGAATGCGTTGATTATGAATGATTATTTTCTGAATCTAATGTTGTTTGTAATACAAATAGAAAGACGTAATATATTCTTCTAGTTCCGCGCCTGTTCTGTCCGTTTATTGTTGTGTTACGGAAGGAGAACAAACTTTTGTGGTATAACTGATAAGGCGATGTGATTGATGAGATATATATGTGTATGTGGATGTATGTGTGTGGGTGTGGATGTAGATATGCGTATATATTAGTATGTATATTAAATATATACTATTTTGTATTCTGTGTGTGTCTGTGTATTATATTTTTATAATAAATGTTGTTTTTATTTTGTGTTGAAAAGTGAAGGGATTTGATGGCGGGGAAATGCTTTATATACATGTTGGAAAAAGGGGAGGGTGATATTAGGTGGGGACGGGGAACGGGGGTGGTATGAGATATGAATAGGAAATAGTGAACGAAATGTACAATACATAGATTTGGAATGGCAATACATATTATTCAATAACATATAGTAAAAAAATTCACCTTTTTTCGAAAGCCACTTACCGGCTAAGGAACATTTGTAGGTAATCGGCAGGAGTCGTGAGGATACTTATATATTTTATGGGCTAGAACAACATGTTTACTATATGTCACAACCGATATGTCTCGGGGACAGCTGATTTATTTGCATGCTGTGTATCAGGGAGACTGCGGGTAGCAAGAGACTAAGAGAGGGAATTTTTCCAATGTGTGATGGGAGTGCGACATCACGAGTCTACATTCATAGTTCGACTAAGCAAGAAGAACGTTCGGATATTCGTCTGCGCCCCCCCCCCCCGAACCAAAGTAGAATTGGATTGTCCAAAAATAGCACAGACGCCAAGGGTCTCTGTTGTTCTCTTGTCACAGTGAATGATTGCTAACTAGGTAATTGGCTTATTCCAGAATGGCGGCGGGGTGGATGCCACTGCAGAAAACATGATAATAATAAGTAATAACAAAATGGATTTCAATGTCGTAGTACTGTGGAGAAGAGAATGGACATCACAATATTCTCTGTTCCAATTGTTTTCTGCCTTCTTGCTGCCGCTCAGTCGTTCATATATGCAGAATGACATGGTTTTTATTACAGGGTCATTATTTTATACGTTCATTGTTTAGTGTGATAATTGATGTGATACGAATATATGTAATTTTCCGATTAGCACATTCTCGAGTACATTGAAAATGACATATGTTCGGAATAGGCGATAGTGATCGATTAGTCATTGATTGTGGTTAGCGTATCTCTCCAATCAGTGGAATACAAATTAACTCATAAGACAATAATATAAATAACAAGAATTTATTGACATGAATAATAATTGTAATGATGAAATAATGATCATAATGAAACTAATAATAATAGATATTGTAATACCATATGGAGTATCAATCACATATGACACTTCACGGCGTGCTATCTCTATCTACGGCTGCTGTACTAATGTTATGGTAGGCAAGAACCATCGAAAAGTTTTGTTCAAAAACTTGGCAAATGTAATATTAAAAACAAGTAATAATCGGCGATTAATGTTTTTATTTTCATCGTGTTCTTTCAAATATTAATATTTTGTGATTGCTATTCTACCGAAATGGCAAGAGAAATGGGAAGCTAGGAGAGACGGGCGAGTTATAAACTGGGGGTAAAAGGTATTTCCTTCACCCCTTTCCCCCCCTTCCACCCCCCAAAAGACGATAAGCACATCGGGGACCATAACTTTTTAAATGGGTCAGAACAACTTTACCAAATTTAGGGTCGAACCAAATATTTACAATGCATAAGTCAGGGGTTGTGGACTTGTACAAGTAAGACACGTTATTTGCGTAACGGGTTTGTATTTGTTGTTCAGGCTCGTGCACGTTTCTGGATTCAGTTCTCCTAAATACCAATCACTTTTACTAGCCAAAAGAGAAAAGTGCAAACATGTTCAAATTCTTTTATAAAACTTGTTAGTCTGGTTAATTATAGGATTATAGGGGTAAATCGAATGCCCCAGTTTTTCATACTTTTAATACTATAACCTAAACAATGGCGATGATCACACTGATCAGACGATCGGCAAATTAATTTTCCCAATATATCTACATTCCTGTGAAGAAAAAAAAAAAAAGGACGATTTTTGTCGTTGAATTTGTGCAGGAGTTGCTGAACACATACTTGTGCAGTATCGGTCGAGCAAGGGTTTCAAAAAATTTTCTTAAATCACTTGTTTCATGGGGCAGGGTAAACATGCGGCTACTATGTTCATTGTTTTCCTTTTTTTCTTTACTAATTTGGTTAAATCGTGCGTGGCTTTCGGGCTGAGAGACACCGTCTTGCATGTGGTTGACCCGAACCCGGTGTTCTTTGACAGAACTTTTTGGCTTGCGTTAAAAATAAAAAAAGCTGCGAGTAGGCGATTATTGTAATTGCATTAACCGAAAAAATTCGGTGGCTATGTAAAGGCGAAGCTACTGCCGCTGCCATTTCAATCGTTAATGTGCACGCCGCTTGGAAGTAAATGATTTCTCGCATTCTAAAGAAGAAAAAATTGCACAACAAAATCGGTCATGTGCATTATGCATTAATTATAAAGCGCATGTTTAGCTCATTCATTTATCTTTAGTTTACAAGCATGCAGCGTATTAAGAGATCTACGACAAAGACTTGAGATGACCCGTATCATTCGTTGGTCAATATTAAACTATATGCAACATTTCTTTTAATGTAAATTTATCTGTATTTGGGCACGTCTATAGTTTAGTAGAAAAAATTGTCAACGATTGGATAACGATTTCCTTTACAGTGTTTATTCACATCATTGAACAATATTTATACACTTTATTTACGATATAGTTTTCTCCTTTATAACCCAAATAAAAACTTGAAAATTTAAAAGTCAATACTGTCGGCTGTTTTTTGTTATTGATGGCTAATATTCGCTCTATTGCAGTACGCCCAATGTGAACACATAGCAAGCAATTACTGGTGAAAATTTAATTCACATTTGAATGCTAAAACGCCGACATGAATTTCATAGAACTAACAGATTTCCACCTGCACAAGCACAATATGTACGATAAATGCCTGGCACATTACCGAAACGTTAAAATTCGGTAGTTTCACTTTTTAATATATGGTGACCACAAATGCAGATCATATATGAGGGGGGTTTTTTTTATTCGATTCCAATACCAATGAAACACTTTTCATGAGCTTTAATGGGAACCTCTTCTGAAGCCAATGATGTCGCATTATGTCATTTCGCTATACCATTTTCTGCAGTATTACGGCATGTCCCGATAACGTGAGAATCCACCTCCTGAAAAGTTGTAGTAATGCAACTGCTGAACATGCTACAATAAACTACGGAAAACTCTAGAATTTTAAATTTATCAATGTTTTGATACATGTTATTTACATTATGTTCAACAACAACAACAACAATAACTTTGACGAAAAAATTGTTTCAGAAAGTTACATGTTGATTTCGGTTAAACAGTATTATTGTATATTTGTCGAGAAAACAACAATAAAAATTGTCGACAATAATAAATGGGGGGAAAATATTATAATTAAGAGAGGAGGAGAGAAACGTCTAGTTATTACTCCACGTACAACCCTGTGGCAACTTGGAAAGAACGTAGAAAGCAACCTTTCGCTAACTCTTTTCTAACACAAGTCGACAAAAAAAGATTTTCAAAATAAAGGAGAAAAGGAGTGTTGGTTTTTAAGTATAAAAAAAAAAGACTATACCGCTGAGATCAATAAACTTAATTTTAGCGTAAGCTCAATATGCAAGCAAGGAATACAACTCTTACTGTTTTCAAAATCAAGTAATATTACACGGTAAGCTAAAGTGCTAATGATGTTATCACTTTAATATTCTTGCAAAGCAACAAGTAAAGGTCTGTTTTACATGTAGCGATTTCGAGTTTATTTTCAAGTTCGACCAAATAACACGCAAATTTCAAATAAAAATGTAGTCCGAGTAACAGTAAATGATTAAACCTTGAAGAGTGTGTTTGTCAAATGACAAAATATAAGTGACCATCCCATTCTCCCCTGCATTTAGTCCAATGAACGTGTGTCGGTATATAAAATAGCGAATATTTAAACTTAAAATAACAACTTTTTCGCTTAGACTTAGTCCAACCGATTACATCACATAATTTCCTTATTTGTTTGGTGACAATTAAGTGGGAAAATTTGGGGTTCTACACAGTAATAGGTTATCATCATTCATGACGCTGTTTGAAATAAAATGATGAAAAACCAAAGAAAGGATAAAAGGGGGAGGATCATGATAATGCTCATGTGTATATGCACACGTGCCGTGAAATAAAAAGAAAGTTAACCCTGATTCCTAACTTTTTACGGACGAGGCAGTAATATAAACCAATTTATACAAGTATATTAATATGCGATATGTTTGTATATATTATATACACCGTATATTCGCACTTATATTTAAAGATAACGATTTTATTGAATAATATACTGTATTTTTAGGTACGTTCCAATATAGGTTATGTATCGGACTAATGCATTATATCGGACTTAGCGGATCTAACGCCGTAGTATATTAAAGTGGGGATCGGAAATCGATTTCAGTTGGGGCCTGTTCGACTGTGCTGGAATATTCTATCTGTTTTTGTAGTTGATATTGGCGGTTTTATGCTCTGTTCCACGTTCGAAAAATGCAAACGGTTTCTGTTAACTAGCGAATATAAACAGTGTGATGAATAAGAGTGTTGTAAAAATTTATTTAGCTTCAATAAACGTTTAATAAAAATACGTCACATGATGTTGCTTATTCATGTTGTGTGGCCGGTCATCAGGAATTTACACAGGAATTGCACTAACAAAAATTTGTTATTGCAGGGTCATGTTACGTTACATTCCCAAAAATACCAATCATAATGCGCATCGGTTTCAAACAGTGCAATATAAACAAACTCGTCAGGGTTGTAGACTCGATTGAGCAGACAATAGTGATTAACCAATACATTGTGTGTGCTAGCATTTACGGCCATCTTACGAAAATTGATGATCGTCTATTGTTTGCATTAATATTATGCAAGTGATGTTAACTTCTCTTCATTAAATCATATTTCGGTAAACATCGAACACAAGCAAGCGACGATTGGATCAAATTCAAAAGGTAGCCCACGTCGTACAAATATTATAAGTGATGACAAAAATGCAAGAATGGTTGATAAACAAAACCGACAACAAAGGGGATAAAAAATTAGTCAACTGTCACGAGATGAGGGGGGAGGGACAACTAACCTCACTAAACCCTATATCGTTTCGCATCTAAACCAATAATCTGGTTTGCGCCATTTTCCCTAATTTAGCAATTTAACGTTATTGATTCTAAGTCATTGGGTTTACTTCTTTGGTTCATTGTTTATGATCTATTTATTAGTTTGACTTGGGATTAGACAGATGTTGGATCATGATTGGTCAACCCCCCGCAAATATAATACAGAAACGTCATATTACCTTTTTAGCGTATCGTTTTGAAATCAGTTACGTTTGCGATTAATGATAATCCATTGTTTTTCATGTTTAGAGTAAGAATACTTTAATTGGTTAACATTTTTGAACAAAAGTTTGTTTAAATGGCAAACCAGTGCGCCCCGAGCCAAGGGTCGGTATATCAGGTTAAGTTTGCCCCGAAATATATCATAATTCAGAAATTACTTTTTTGCTAAGCTGAAAAAGGAAAAAAGAAAGAAGCATAGAAAAGCGATTTTTTTCTTAAATAAAACCCTTGGCCGTTCCACTTGTTACAAATACTCTTTGTCGATTACATAAAACGCCCCAAACTAATAATACACAATTATGATGTCATCACGAACAACCCGATTTATGGTTATATCAAAATAGCCAAGAAGAAAAAGTATTATAAAATTATGAAACATTATCCGCTAACACTGCATCAACCTATTACCCACATGTACACAACAAAGGTTGCTGTTTGAATGTTGTGAACGAAAAGAGTTTGCATTCATGTCGTGTTCTTGTCTTGCAACTTTTTCAGTTGTAACTTTGAATAACAAGCATGAGTATTTCTCTATCCAATTATCTTTGTATAGTCTCGGTAGAATTAATTTAATGTTTCTCAAAGCATAAAGCGAAACGTATGTAATCTGTCGACATTGCATTCTGTTGTCCGGCTTGGGCTGAGTCTAACTTGCCTGCATCTGGCTTATGAAGAAAAAAAGGTTGCAACGTTGTAATTCATGCTAAACGTTTATTTGCACAGAAATTAAGTTTAATTACTTATGTTTAATAAAGCCAATGTAATATTCGCCAAGTTCTTTTTCTCTTTAGAAAATACTGTTTGTTTGCAGTAATAAAGATTTGTCAAAGGTATTTATATTTGTTGCCTGAATAATCGATGCCTACATTTTGGTGGCAAATTGTCCAAGGTTTATAGACGTGGTATAACACTTCTAGCATGCGGTTGTGCTAAGAAATCAAACGCATTGTCCAATTTCTAACAGAGGCCTTGCCAACGATTATTCTTTGCGCAGACAGATTTGTCATCCAAGTTTTGAGCTTCCTCCATATCTGTTTGTTATACCATTTAATGTTTGTTTCAGAAGTTTGGCAATTTTTTCAGCGGTTTGAATAGTTGATTTTTTGCACATCTTTCCAAGCACTAGTAACAAATTCAATACGTTGAAGTATTAAAAATAAAAATTTAAGCTATAAGCGGCTGTTCATTGAGTAAACAGTAGCCGTATCCGGTAGACGAGCGCTAGCATATACTAGCAGCTCTCGTAATCGACGTGATTAAAACATGTGTTGTTTACAATTCGCATGCTCAAGTTTACTAGGCCTGTCATTACTTTCATCATAGTATATACGCAGCTCAAGCAGAGTATAGCATGCCTCATTTGCTCATATTTTTATTTGGAAATATACAAAATATGGGTTAAGCAAAACAGTACACACAGATAAAATGCCCCGTTAATTGTTTAGAAATGCAGTCTCCAAAAGACATCATGTAAGCTGATGCATACAAATAACACACCAAAGTGTTTACTTTAAAGATAAACAATAACTTACTATGCTTGCATTTAAAAAAGTTAAGCTTGTACTTTGTCTAAAACTCGCGCATAATAAATTAAAACACAGTTGACACAACACAACACTACTAAAAGATATAGCGTCTTGTTAATAATAGCTACGTGGGGAGGCTGAAAAGTTTTGCGCATGAGATTTTTATTTCCAGAAATTTCATAATAATCATCGATACAAACTATTTTATTCCCTCAAATGCTCTCCATTAACACCCACGCAACATTTGCAGACAATTCTGCCAATTCTAGAAATATTTCTCATAATCGGCTTTTTGGGATGTTTCAGCAATTGCCCGAACATTTTCGAACTCATCAAATCTTTTTTCCCTCGGTTTCTCGGGTAAATTGCAAGGAAAACGGCCTGGACTGTACGGCAAATTGGGGAAAGTGATACTCCGCATGATTGTGGTGCCACGAACAGTATTTTCTAAGAAGCTTAGTACGAGAAACGCCGATTTGTTGGCTAAATTTTTAATAGAAAATGTGCGGCAATTTTTCTGACGTCACTGCTTCACGGGAGCCGTCCGGCACGAGTTCCGTCTTTTTTCCGTCTTTGGATGTAGTAATCCCAGCGTCTAACAGTGCTGATAGCCAATTCTTGTTTTCTTCTACATTTTTGTGGAATTTGATTAGCCTTTTACCATGGTTTCTAGAAGCGAAAATAAAATGTCGTTGGTTCTTACGGTTCATTTTTTTCCCTATCGTTTACTATGCTTCACAAAAATTGTTTCTCGGCAATGAATAGTTAAATTTTCGCAATCTCGAGTCAGAAGCCCACGCGCAAAACTTCTCTGCCCCACGTAGCCCAAAACTGTCAATACAAAAATTCTATTAGACAAATCTACGCTTCTGAAGTTTATTCCGGAACTTTACGCTAGTTAAGAATTTTCAGAGAATAGTTATAAATGTAAAAAACGAACTAGTAAATAGATTGCAACCGTTGCCGAAAAATATTAAAAACATTAGATGCTTATAATGTAAAAGCCGAGCTTTGCAATACGCATAGGATTTCAGTTACAGTCCGGAACATAGAACGGAAATTCTACTGAAAAGGTATTTCTTTACATCCGCAATGTATTAGAAGAAAATGGATATTTATGTGTTGGGTATCCAAATTTATTATATTAGTATTAGATCATAAGTAATTCTTATAAAATATCACGTCGATATAAATGTTAAGTTCAGAATGTAATGGTATCTTTCTTCAACACCGAACAATTATTATTATTATAGATAATATCTTAAATTTTTATCATTATAACCTTCCTGCCTTGTTTATTCAGTTTGTACCTATTAATATATTAAACCAAAACCTTATCATGCAAGCTGACCATCATTTTACACACTTTGTCAAGTGCTTTTTATCCTTGAGCGTTTTAGTGGAATAAACTGAATAAGTGAGCAGGAGCTAGGCATTCGTTGTAGTATTCCAGTAAATCAATATAATCAAATGCTGACTATGTCAAATTAAGTCGAGTATCAGTGCATCCACGCCAAGTTCTTGGTATTGATAATGTCTTGGTGTAAGCAGCCCATATCAGTACTAGATTGATTCTTGTGATTGAAAATACCACCAACTTGATTCAGAGCCCTTAGTCTAAAGAGCTTCGTTCTTGTTCGAGTTCCACGCTCAATACCAGACTCGCTCGGATTCAGCTGAAGAAAAAAGAACCCTATACAATTGAGAAGATGAGGTAACATTACTTGGTTATTAAAAAATATAGCGTTAATTGTGAGATATGCGAGATGCCGTTAAATATTTCCCATCTACTACTTTTTCTCCTCCATCAATTAAATGACTTGTTCCAACGTCGAACGGCACTTTCCATGAACATGTAAGCTTTCAAAAATTCGAGTTTTTTCAATATCCATGATATTGATTGGAAGAATATCCAATATTACCAACTTTCCCTTTTTTCTTCGACAAAAACCACACTCGCGAATCTACCCTCGCCAATTCGTCAGCGGGTGGAGGTGACGTTAATGAATCGGACGTACTTGACCCAAGGCTGACTGGGATGATTCTTTTATGACCAGGTGCATGATGAGAAGTAAAGTTAGTCCATTTGCCTTGTACAATAAATTTGAATGCTGAAGGTGTCCCTATATTAAAAAGGACAAGTCTTGGAAAAAACTTGTTCAATAGAAATGTTATCAAGTGCTTATTAGACGCAAAAAGCCATTCGGTTTATATGGCATTTTTTTCATCCTGAATGTTGGGCATTCTATCAACTTCGTGTACGATTCGTTAATGACAGAGTTATATTAAATTTTACGTTGGCATCTTTCGCGTCAAAGTCAATAGAATTCGCGAAGTGCATAAAGTGCATTGACCATTCTGAACATCCTTACAATATTATAATAATAATAATGATAGGCTTCTATCACAATACGTAACTAATATCCCGCTTGACTGACGATACACCTGTGTTTCAGAGAAGAGTTTTTCTGCTCACGCATACATATCTTCACTTTTTGGCAAAAACCTTTCTCTCTTGGATGTTTGTAGCCCTGCAATATTCAAACAATAACGCGCGCCGAAAAATAATAAAATATCCCGGCCGATTAAGATTAAACTGCTGCTATTGGCCAAGGGGAAAAGATATGTACGCTACTCAGTTTAGACGCCTAATGTCTATGTCTTCAGAACTCACCAGCGTTGTTCGGCAGGCGCGCGGACCCCAGCACACCGCAACCGTGTTCTTTCTTCGTAAGCATTGACAATTCCCGTCCGCCTTTATCTTTTACATTTCTTAACGAGTTGGTCTTGGAATAGACGGACTTGGTGACACTGGTAGTGGATGGGCTCCAGTCGCTGACGAGATCGGGCGGACGATGCCGCACGTTAAATTCATTCTGCCGAATGCGTGAGTCTTTGAGTCCTGTTCGTTTTACTGGTATTTACAATGTAGCTCTCACCTTGTCAAATTTTTAATACGCTTTTTTTTTTATATTTTTCAGTCCAATTCGACCCATTACTATCAATGGCGGCTTTCACATGCCCGCCTGGTATGGACTTGTTACATTCCACGTATTTACGTTCGCTTGTTATGCTAATGGGTTTATCTGTCAATAAACTTTCATCAAAAGGTTTGATGTGACGGAATTAGGAAATGTCGAAAGCATGCTCAGTTCGATCGAAGATGATAATGGAATTTTAAGTTCAATGACTTCTAGTAAGTAACCCCATGTCGTTTTTGTAAACTTGTCTGATGTCAGCGGTTGACAACGGGGTTAATGCATAATACAGTAAACAGGCTCATACGTGACGAAGTTGATTCAGGGATGCCTGCGCGACGCATTGTTGTTGGTGGGTTTTCACAGGGCTGTGCAATGACGTTGGCCACTGCCTTGACTTCAGAATATAAATTTGCTGGCATAATAGGGTAATGTTCATTTGTACTTTGACTATCTTACAAGTATGCTATTGACCGTCATCTCTCTTTTATTTGTTTGTAGACTGAGCGGGTTTATCCCTTTGCGAGACAAGATTCTATCGGTTGGTATTGGATTGTGAATAAATTCTGTGAACCCAGATTTAGCACATTACTTATACTCCTCACCACTCTAAAGATGGCAGCGGATGCAAATAAGACCACTCCTATATTCCTTGCTCACGGAGACTCCGACTCGGTTTGTTACTATCTATTGACGATACTTTCGCATCAATTCTCTTTCTAGCAGCTAACACTAATTTAACATTAACACTAATATCGTCTATTTCCAAGGTCATTCCATTCCAATTCGGAAAAATGACAAGCGAGCTGCTCATAAGTAGAGGATACGACGTAACATTCAAAAGTTACGCCCGCTTGGGTCACTCACTCGGAACAGCTGAAAGTCGAGATATGACAGCATTTTTGCAGCGTGTAATACCATAGTTTTAAGCTCACGATTGAATAATTTCAAGTATAGATGGAACGTGTATTGATATGTAATTTCATTCTCCAAAGGTATCAGCTCTCTTTGTTTTTATTAAATACAATTCTGTTATTATTAGTAATTTACATTGTATGCCGAAACACATTGTACTGAAAATCGTATGCAATCGAAAATCATACGGCTTCAACAATTATGACCATTCATTTCCCCCTTTGCACTCAAAAAGTGCAGATTGTCAATTCGGAACGGGGTTCGGCCTCCATTCTTGCATGCAAGCATCCGGCTTTGGCGTCCGCAGGCCTGGCAGAGCCTATGCATTCCCGAACTTTCTCTATTTTACTTTAGCACAACGAATCATTTCAATATCGGTGGTCGATTTTGTTTATTACGTTGTAATCTGATATATAACCAGTCCACAGCTTCACGAACCCCGTCACTAAAACAATCATGACTGATTAGAACTAATGAAAAAATGCAATCAAATAACGCCAGACACAAAATCGTAAGATACAAAACCCTTGCAATGCGGATATTGGCAAGACTCTAGAATCTCTTGCTCCAAGCCTTAAAGCAATTTTACTGAAAATCTCTTTAATGTCTTCGACTTTCAAAGCGTTAGGGTAATCCTGTTTATTAGCCAACATCAACACTGGGATTCCTTCGACGCCATCATTTGTTATTATCTTTTCTGTGTCGAAAAACGAAAATCCTATTTAGTCCGTGTGAAACTTAACGATATTTGGATTTCCTCATAAATGTAACTGATACTCAACCAAACACTTCTTTACACTCTTCTATTCGATCTTTGGCAGTTGCGTCCATTACAAATACAATTGCATGGCATTCCGTATAATACTTTTCCCAGATACTATGCAAATCACGTTGACCACCAAGATCCCAAAAGTTTAGTCGAGCTTTGTTAACTTCTATCCTACCAACTAAATGGAAATCGTTTCGATTTTGCGTTCAAGAAACAGAAATGCGAATTGAAAGGAGAAATTGGAAAGCACATTAACTGTTCAGGCCAACGGTTGGTGCAATTCTGTCGGGTGGGAGGCCGAGAATTCCAAGAAATATAGATTTTATTCGTTCTAAGAGCGTCTGAATAAAGTTTATTGACCGAGGATTATTAGACGGGGGGAATGTTCTGGCCGAATTGCAGAATCAAGTTGAAGATTTGCCAATCTGAAACGCAATCATACCGTCTTCCCTGCTTTGTCAAGCCCCAGAAGCAGTACATAGTACTCCTCTTTACGTGCAAGATATTTATAAAAGCCTTTAAGTAGAGAGTACATATTATTACGATTGGAGTGGAAAGGGAAAAAGGGTAAGGTAAATATGTCAATTACAATCACATTACTTGAGCCGTTTGTATTACTGTTACTATTACTGAAATAAGCACGTGCAGAAACTGTGACTTGCATCTTTAAACTTTCGGGTAAAAAAATAAAATTAACTGCTATTTCCCACCCGACCCAAAACGATGCCTTCGGTACCGCTTCGACCGGCAAAAATTGCCGTCGCAAGAAATGGTGTCGGTGCATACATCTTTCAATGTCGCAAGATGGTATTTCATTATTGTGAGAGAAGCGGCAGTAGTCGAGGAATGATGTAAGATGTATTAATAAGTTATAAAGGGAAAGCATCCCGTGTGGGGGGGTTTAACGGTTACCCGTCTTTTTTTTTTTTTTTTTTACTTTAACCGGCTAGTGAATATCTAAAGAATGGCTTGGTACAATTTGCGCGCAAGAACCCACAGATTGAAATTTTTGTAAAACCAAGACCGTCCAAGCATCCTGTTATCCGTGGCATATATCGTAAGTGCCTTTGTAATATATTGATCTTTGGAAAGTCGATACGAGTTTTTTAAAGTTTAATTCCTTTTTCGTAAGTAAATGGGAACGACAAAGTGATATGTGTACGAAATCTGGATACGACCCAAATTGCAGAAAAAGTGCGTCAGATCCGCGACTCTTCAGGGAAAAAGGCCGACAAGCGATTCAAGAAGCCCGTGTTGTCGACAACCGAAAGTGTGAGGGGAATCTGGAGCCCATTTCACACTAAGCAGCACGTCATATAAAATAAATCTGTCTTTTGTCTGTCTGACAAATATATGCAAGTTCACGTAATAGTCAAAGCATCAACCAGACGGGGGTATGAGGCAGCATACAAGTTGTGCATTTATGCTTTTCAGCAAAACATATGCTTTGTGATAAACAGTTATGATAACAAAATCAGCAACAAGTTTTAATATTAATAACAGCAACTGCTTAATGTAGATATATTCCCAATTACGTCTTCTTTCAAAGCAACTTTCCTAACCGCCCCAAATGATAATTTATTGTATTCGGCGGTTTTGATCCTTTAATTGCCTATAAACAGAAATTCAAACCATTTGGAGTCAATCGGAGATACGTTGAAAGTTATAAAACCGATTTAGAGAAACTAACCGCTGCGCGCATACACTCTGATAGCGATTTCGCCGACTGGCTACATTTGGGACTGTCAACATTATTATTGGTCCAACATGTTAGTAACGTCGCTAGTTCAGCAGTGCATGGGCCGACTTTTTCTAATTTCCGTGGTCGCACTTTGAGCTTTTTGATCCTCATCGTTCCTGCTTTTCCTGTTTGCTGCCCGTGTTGCGGGACTATTGTGGAAAAAATTTTGCTGTCACACAACCCTTAACCGGGCACTTTTTGAAAAGCAGGTCAAAATTTATTGTTTTTACAAAGGAAGTAAATATCAAAAATGTTTAGAGGAAAAAATCCCAACTTTGTGTGACAATTTCCCTGAGACACGAAGTTCCCATGATCATGAACGACTGTTCTAATTCGTTAAATAGTTGCATTGCAAACAAGTATAAAATTATGCGAGTAATGCTCAGCAGTGATTTCCAATGTCTGCAAATAAAGTCAATGAGACCAGCTCGTCCGAGGCCGACGGGCCGCCTGACAATCAATCGCTAGGATCTCGGTTCACAAATGCATATGATTCGACTTTTCGGCTGGCAATTGCACCATTCCTCGATAACTTTGTCAAAAGTTACGCCTGGTCGTCTGACCCGCCATCAACCATTATTCCCGGCTTCCTTTACTTGGGCGATGCTAGCGGTTCTGCATGGCTTCCACATCTAATAGATCTTTCAATCACACATGTAATTAATCTTGCCGGCTCTTCGAACTTCTGGGAATCAAGCGAGGCCATTAAGCAGGAATTCCAAAGACTCAGCCTGAATAAACAGACTGACGATAAATTAAAAGTTGAACCATCTGAAAACCATTTAAATTCTCGCATAGATGGCACGTTTACCGACGAATATACTCGGCCGCTTGTTGATTCCAAATCGCCAAACTTTCTGCCGCCCAAGTATCTTAAAATCAGAATAGCAGACGTGCCATCTGCTCGTATATCTGAACATTTTGATGTATGTATTAAATTCATTGAATCAGCGCAGGCGAATGGTGGGCGTGTGCTTGTGCATTGTCAAGCGGGTGTGAGTAGGTCAACTTCTATTGTTATTGCATTCTTAATGCATTCACAAAGGATCTCTTATGAGCAAGCGTTTCGCATTGTCAAGCAAAAGAGACAATCTGTAAAACCTAATACAGGTTTCGTAAGACAATTGCGAGAATTTGAGGCGAGCCTTTGTATTGAGAAGGAGAATGTGAATCATACATCAACAATGGAACAATGCATTTCGGATGTGTAATAATAAAGCCAGAAATAAGATAGGCGCATAATCACGTGCGTCGCCTGATATGAGGTGCATCATTCTCTAGTCGATAATTACGTAAATCTATCGTATGGTCTGGCATTGGAGATCCCCAACCAGGCAGTCTTACAACCTATATTTGCAGAAATTCAGTATTTGGTTGCTTATAACAAATCCCATTGTATTCTTTTAGCATTCATTATCCTTACCATAGCCGTTATATTATCCTCGGATCCAAGCGTCTCTGCAAAATCTACTAATTTTATTGCACCTGTCGTTGGATCACTTTCTAGTTTCACCTGTTTTAAAAAAAAAAACGAAAACAACAAAACATTTGTTTAATTTCAAGCTACCTCCGTCGAGTTAACAAATTCGCAGATAACTCACACAATCCACTATCTCCTGGTTACTCATAACGGACGTTATTCCATCAGAAACTAATACAAGAAATGCGGAATCCTTTCCAACAACTCTGCGAGTAACAATTTCTGGTTCTGCCGATATGCCATACTTTTTCATTTTTGAATCACCCATAGCTCGAGTATTTGCCACTTGGCCCAAAACCATATCTGATCCGAATGAGTCTGTAATAATATAACCCCCAGACTTTCGTAATCTATCAAATTCAGTAGCTGCATTTGGGTGATGATCGTAAGTTAACGAGATAGCGTTCCCAGACGGTACGTCACATAACAAAACACGCGTGTCTCCAATATGTGCAACAGTAATATCTAATTCTTCGCTCGACCAGAATGGAAAGTTATCTAATGGTCGAACTAATGCTATTGACGCTGTCGAACCGACGGACTGTCCCACATGACCGAGTAATTCGAGATCGGTTTTAAGAAAAGCCAGAGTTAAACGCTGTTCCAGCGTTAACGACTGATCTTGAGACTGTGGCCCCGGAGAAAGCGAAGAGTTTGGATTGTTTATTGGATGATTGGTTAATAAGGAATAATTGCGCGGTGTCCTGCCTGCAGGCTTTTTTATATCCTCTCGATCGCTTGGACGAGAGCGTGGCGGAGGTGGTGGTGGTTTGGCTACTTCTGGGCTGGCAAGGGAAGTTAAAATTCTGGGGTTGAATCGATGGAAATATCTTAAATCATAAAGAAAACAAGGCGGATTAATTCATAGTGAAAAAATTACTATTAAGCAACTCTAGCGATATTGCGGTAGGAATGAGTACAACATTCCACCTCACAACGTGGGAGAAGTAAATAACAACATATGCTTATATCGTATTATTGCTTACCCTCCAATGTTCCGAAACTGTAATATCACGTCGTCTACGTCAGATGCTTTTACGTCTTCGATTCTCTTGTGAAGATTACCAGTTAAATAATCAGCACAATTGGCACCTCCATGACTAATTTTACAGATACAATGCATACATCACGGATCAACCAACAAAATCGAGCTCTCACCTGTAACTGCAATCAAACAAAGGTACCAACTCACCCGTCAAATACTGCAAAATAACAACTTTGATCCGTCTTTCTAGTATCCTGTACATAAGCAGACTCGTCAGTCGTCTTATCAGCAACTGCCTGTTTGCCGTCTGAGACGGCCAAATCCAAGACTAGTATCTGAAATCGATCTTCATTGTATTCTCTTGTACCTCTTGTGGTTCTATGTGATTAAAAGGTCAATCAATTTAGGATAAACCATATAGCAAGAAGAGCGGCATGTGGGTAAAAGTCATATTAAATAACAGTTCTTACCTTATACCAACTACATGTCTGGATTTGGCTAAATGAAGACGGAAGTTTTCACCTTTCGGCGTTCGCACACTATAATACGCTTCTGAAGAAGCGTGTGCCGTTCGGTGAAACGCTCGTATATATGGAATTGATTGGTTGCATCGAACTAGGGTAGCCGTCTGGAAGAGAATATGTTGGGGTCGTATTATTGTGTGTTTCACGAAATTTGGAATGCGGACCATTCCAGTTAAATAGTGTTTGAAGTTAATATTAGTGACTTCTAACTAGCAGATTTGCCGGTAGAAGATCATTTCACTGGTCACGTGTTAATTATACAGATTAAAGTGGCAAACTTTAACTCGATTAGGAATGGGATAAACGATATCGGACAGCCATTTACCCTTCCATGAATGTCTATTTTAGAATGGTACTTACGTATAAACTATGATTATAAAGTTTTTTGTTAGGAGAAAAAGAATAAATAACATGTTTTAATAAACACACAAAAAGGAGTAACTGTCATGATTTCAAGTAGTTGTGCATATTGATATTCCTTATTGCTATTATTGTTCATAAGACACTTTGATGACTCATTAAGAAAATTATTGTGCTGACATGCATTGTGAAGAGCTTCACCATCTCCATAACTGTGAGAATGACCTTCTGCTGATAACGTTAATTTACTGGCACTGTCTAGTGCTAAAGATTTATTCATTAAATGTTGCCAAGTAAATAAAAAAAATAACTATAATAATAACTTATGAAAACATATCCAGGCAGTTTTAGCTCCTAATTTTAGAAATTGCAAAACACGGGATAAAATATACCAAGGAAAATAAATTAATAATGATGACGTATTAGTATGCTTTCCTGAATTTGCACAATAAAAATTATTCCATGCTTCACAACTTACTGTATAATGGTGGATAGCAATCATTATTGACAAACACCGTTAATTAATTCGTACGTCAATCAATAACTTACATATTCGAACGTACTGATGTTATTTAGTTCGACAGAATTTACCCAACGTCTCTCAGTTCAAATCACTGCTGAACTTCAACATGATCGTTTTTTCATTATTTTGGAAATAAGCATTCACGAGCTCTTCCAACTCGTAGATAAGTTCTTCATCTTTATTGTTAGATTTCATGATACATCTAATCTTAGTAGAGTATAGGCAGTTCATTGTCTGATGCTTTAAAGAAAGACTGTCTGCTGGTTGTCAAAGACATTATGTGGTAAACTCCCTGCATTGCCATCATTATTTAATAGATGCTGTGTTGAGGTTAAATCGTATTAACGGTAAATCACATGATACAGCTAAATTCTATCTTCATTGTTTGATAATTCTTGTTAATTCGTATGACGATATATCGAATATGAAGGCTAGAGCTACAATCATTGGTAATTTCTCTATCGAAAAATAGATCTTACATTAATCATGATTGAAATCGTCGCGTAGTTGGGATTGACAGACAAAATGTATGCGTAAGTGCATGCCTCGATAATCGATGCAGTTGTAGAAAGCGAGGCAGAGTTGTGATGAACATTGTCATAAAGTAGTTCTAATTGTCATAATTCTTAATTTTCGTAATTAAATCTTACCGTATATGTTGTATCTATATCATCGTATAGCAATTAGATCACTGAACATCAATATTCCCTCTGTTAATCTGCCTTACTATATATGTCAATTGTAATATTACGTCATTTATATCTGCAGTTAAGCTATCTTTTGTTGGTTAGTGCATTAATGCTGTGCACCCTATGGTTATATGACTTGATCGAAAGTGGACGTCTCGATTTCAACATAAGAATGCTTTTCCGCAAGTAGTGTTTACGAAATCGTTCATACAATTACTTATTGCTCTGTTATCAATTAAATTTCTCCATATTAATATTGTAACATAACTAGATTTCAATCAGTGTTTATAGACAAAGAAACAAAGAAAAAAATATATCACTCGAAAACAAGATTGACATTGTTAAAAGAAAACACGCTAATTTTATGCTAAGCGATGAAACGTTAGCTAATGAATATAATGTAGATCTTTCCACCATAAACCGTATTTTTCGAGTTTACGATTGAAAACGACATGCGTAATTTAATTCGTCGCTTAGAGTTAAAGCGTCAAAGTCATTAACAGAGTATATTAATTAACTAAAAAAAAGCATTTTACTATTTACTATACTCAGTTATATACTGTAAATATCGGAAGTATAACCCATGTCCTAATCACTTCTTGACACTAGGCTACTGTCCCCTACGATAATTAGGTAATACAAAATATCACGTGAATTTCACTAATGTAGGCACCTAATCGTATTAGTATATTCTCGCGTGATAAAAAGATAACACGTAACGCTGAGTTCACGCTGGCAAGTAAACAATAGTAACAGCGTAAGAATATTTGTAAATGTTGTTGTATATAATAATAATTTGTGTCGCTACATAGTTTCCGTAACTCTGCCAAAGTCTTATGACACATGAACACTTTTTATTGAAACAGAAAGCATAAATTAATCCCAAATTGTTATTAAACTCGCTGAGAAACGACGCATGAGAGAGATCTTTCTGATTGTGAACGAGGAATGATTTTAGGACTTCACTTGGCAGAAAAAAGCGAAAGGGACATAGTTAAGATATTAAGGGTACTGCAAATAGGGTTATATCAGTTTACCATGAAAGTGAAAAGACGACAACAACCGGTAGACCGCCCGTTCTAGACGAGCGAAGTACCAGGCGATTGGTAAGTATACTAAAGAAAATCAAAAAGCAGCCGTTGAAAAGATAACGCATGAATTTGCCTCTGGACTAAATGTTTCGGTAAGTAAACGTACAGTTCAAGTGTTCTTCATAAAAAAATGCCTAGTCAACTAATTTCTCCTTTTTTTAATCTCCTAAGGGTTTTGTGCTAGGGGTCGTGTTCGTAAACCCTTTGTTTCTGAAACGAATCGTACAAGACGTTTAAAATGGTCCGAAGAAGGAAGAAAAGTATTTAATATTTCAGAACTACTCTCGCCAATGGGTTTGGCACAGACCGTACGAAAAATACGACGTTGATTGTCTTATTCCTACAGTAAAGTCTGGTAATGCGGATGTCATGGTGTGGGGTTGTTTTACGAGAAACATGATCGGTCCTTTAGTTATAATGGAGGGTAGACTGAACGCTGAATCGTACAAAAACTTACTTGAAAGTCATTATTGCCATTTTACGAAAACTTAATGGCGATTTATCATATTTTTTCCAAGGTGCTGTTTGCCAAATTGTAGATCGATAGCTCGGACAAAAGGAGGGGTAGCCAGCCCAGAAGTAATGGAAAAGGTAAAAAAAGCCTGACGACAATGCACCTTGTCATAGAACACATTCCGCCGTGGAAAGAAGAAAATATGGTTGTCTTTTGTGGCCTGCACAGAGTCCCGATCTAAATCCAATTGAACATTTATGGGATGTTTTGGAAAGACGGGTTCGTGCGAGAAGTCCTCATCAAAAAAACAAACATTAGCTCTGACAGAAGAGTGGTTAAAGATAGACCAAACGACTTGGAAAATTTCGTAGATAGTATGTCGCGTAGAGTTAATGCTGTTATAATAGAACAAAGTGACGTGTCTACTGTGATCGTGGAGTGTATGTATATTTTGCGTGTGATTTGTATGTTGGAGTTTGACCTTTATACAGTGAGTGTCAATGGTCAACTATCCGATCCGCGATGCAAGCCCAATAGTTTAGTTAGAACGCGTATACTTATAAGAAGAGCGTGCGGAGGCGATAGTCGTATTTGAGATTAATATTGACGCTAACAGCTGAAGGGGCGGAAGAAGCGACGGACATGGCAATAACAAAATCGCAATCCTTATAAAAAAGGCCTTATAAAGAGAGTTGACTGTACTAACAGTAACGCGTTGCGTATTTTATAATAACAAGAGAACTGATAACTTTGGAAGGTGGAAATCACATATCATACAACGTCCGTCTATTTACGTACAAACGTCTTTCAGATTAAATACACGAATGAAATAATTCTTCAATGGTGAGCTTGAAAAAATTATGGTATAACCTGCTGCAAAAAGGATAACATATCTTGAGTCTCATCTGGACTGTGCCAATGACCCAAATTGGCGTAACTTTTGAACGTTACATTGTATCCTTTACTTGTGAGCAGCTCGCTTGTCATCTCTCCTGCTTTGAACGGAACAGTCTTATAAATAGACAAATCGGTATCAGTTTGTAAGTATGCGACAAGAAGCATTGATGGGAAATCAAAGCCTCGTAACGTAACCAACCTCGTCCGCATCACCGTGAGCAAGGAATATAGGAGTGTTTTTATTCGCATCAGTTGCCATCTTTAGATGTTAATGTATTATAAGTAAATTTGCCAAATCTTGGGGTCATAAATTCGTTGTAATCCCAATACCGACCGATAGAATATTGTCTTTCGAAGGAAGATAACCGCTCAATCTACAAATAAGGCCGATGACAAGTTAATATCATCACTTCAATAAAGTCATAGCATAAATGAAAATTACCCTATTATGCCAGCAAATTTATATTCTGAAATCAAGCTAGTGACCAGAGCTTGAGCACAACCCTGAGAAAACCCACCAACAACAATTCGTTGCGCAGGAATCCCTGAATCGACTTCGTCACTTATGAGCTTGTTTACTGTGACATGCATTCACATTACTGACCGCTGGCATCAGACAGTTTTACGAAAATGATATGGTGCTCACCAGAATTCGCTGTATTTAGAATTCCGGTCTCAGAATCGTCCGAAGCGAGCATCCTTTCTAAATGTCCTGATTGTAGTATATCGAACCTTTTGGTAAAATATGAATATAGAAATCATTAGCATGACAGCGAACATAAATACGTGCAAATAATCCCATACCAGGCACGCATGCGATAACCCCTATAGAGAGTAATTGGTCGGTCTGGACTGGAATATAAGACGTAAATTAACATTAAAACCTCGATAAAGTGAAAGTTACAAGCTAAGTATATAGTAAAGCGATAGACAGAGACTTACGCATTCGGCAGAATGAACTTAACATGTTGCATCGTCTGCCCGATCTCGTCAGCGACTGGAGCCCATCCTTTACCAGTATCTCCAAGCCCGTCTATTCTAACCAACTTGTTAAGAGCGAACAAAAAGAAAAGCAAAACGTGGCAGGAATTTGTCAATGCTTACGAAGGAATAACACAGTTGCAGTGTGCTGAGGTCCACGCGCCTGCTGAATAACGCTAGTGAGTTCCGAAGACTTGGACATTAAGTGTCTAATACTAAACTGTGCAGTGTACATACTGTATTGAATTTTCTTGACCAATAGCAGCAACAGCTACATTAATCTGCCCGGCAGGTATGAATATTTCGTGAAAATATACCAACATTTACACGACGCCTGATCTGAAGGGCCAAAACGATTAATACACACGTGTACACATACCCGGAAGAGTCTGATCAATTCTAAATAATCAAACGGAGCGTATTGTAATAGTAATAGAGCCTATCTGCGTTATTAATAATATTAATGTCAACATTCCGTAAATAAGGAACAAATTAGAACGCGTCTTTACTGTGTGATCGGCCAGTCCCGCAAAATACTTCAATATACGTTCGATGTTCGAAGCTTTTGATGAAGTAATCGCAAATTCTGAAACCTATTACTTAAATAACCATTGTTATTACAAAATTCAAATACACGCCCACACACGCACATATATAAATACACATGTGTATGCGACAAGATTACAATAAAATTTACAGAAACTCCCATATTTACCATGAAAAACGTCGTTTCCATCATTATTATCTGTTTGACTCTGAGCTTAGTGCCAGTTTTTGAAGGTAAAGAAACTAGTCTACAGCCAACTTATTAAATATTGTCTGTAAATCAGTAGTAAAACCGAACTTTTCCAATTTCAACTTGCGTTAAATTTTCTTGCCTTTCTCGTATCCAGCTTGTTCAATAGGAGAAGGAAAACGTGACTGTCATTCCGGTTTCTCTTGTCAATCTAATACAGACTGCGTGTTCAAAACTTGCACAAATTTTGTCTGCGTGCGTAATTTGGCTAATGGTTGCGTCGTCGGCGGCAAAAAAAACAACTGTAAATTAGGTGATCCTTGTGCGTCTAGTGATGACTGTGAGACACCTGGTTGTGCAGATGAAGGTAGTGGACAACCTGTTTGTGTTTAGATATAGAATGTCTTTGCTGTTGGCTAGTACTGTGAATGTAAATGTATAATCTTAATCAAACACGTAAGTGATAGCATGACATGTTTACATATCGACGTGTTGATTACGAAAGGATATTTTTGAATATTGGAAGCAAAAATACTGTATTTCTGTATTAGTATTGTTATGTTGAACAAGTTTATATTTAGTAAAGACGCCAAATAAAATAAAACAAGTATAATCACGTCTCTACATTCTTGCAAGATAACTTTGTTCTAATCTTCCGGCTCATAAGAACAATGTTATTAGGTTACAATACCTCGAAGCATAATCCTCTTCAATGTATTAAAAAATCTGAACGCTTACGAAAGCACTTGAACAGATACGGGTGTAATGAGTTGGTTATGTGAAAAGATCAAGATATGGAGACTGAAAAGTTTTGCTACTTTTTTCGTTGGTTACATAAAAGCATGCGCATTTGCGGTGTAGGTAGCGCATTAATATGTGGATTTTTAACTGAAGAGGAAATAGAACTAAAACCAAAATCCAAATGAAGGAGAGATAATAATAAGAGCAGTTACAGATTACCTTCGTCGCCCTTATGTATTATTAAACATCTAGAAGACAAAGAATTTAGAAAAGTTCTGTTTGTCTTATTTACTTGCATAAGAATGTGTAAAAGCTGATAAAGAAATTAAAAGTTTACAATTTTTAACAACTAATTTAGAGAAAAAAAAAATAAATTGCTTGAAATAAATAAGCAGTTGGAAGTAAAGTTGGAAGAAAAAGATAACATAATAAAAGAATTAGATGATGATGTACTAATGGAGAGAGAAAGCATTAGGTGCAGCCATGAAATGGAGAAAGCACCAAATGGCTGAGATGGTGTTGAAACACAATGTTGCCATGGGGGAAAACTCTTAGACTGTATAGATTTATTGGAGACTAATTTGACAGTTAATTGAAGAAACTACTTAAAGAATAAAGAATTACTGGTCTTACTAAATCAATAAAAAAAAAATAAATTACACAAACTCAAAAAAAAGTAAAAGAAAAGACTAAGGAGAGTTACTTTTATTGTTCAAAAGAATAAGTAAACTAATATGAAATTAGAATATAGATGTTGGAAATAGCAAAAGATGAATGTAATTTAAATTATAATAACCCAATCTCTTTAATTTTGATACTGCTCCTGCTACTCATCAAATGGTGGCTTGTAATATTATTGATGGTTATTCTGACATAGTAATAGTTTTTATTTGTAATGAATGTAAAAAAAATTATGATAACAATATTCTTCCACAATGCAAGGTTAAAATGAAACCGAAATAGTATTATTGTGATTTAAGAGCATTTTATTGGGTGAATGCAGAACAAAATTTCGGACTGTTCGGTCTTTGCACTATAACAATTGGGATAATGTTGTGTAATATCGATACTGCCACGCCAGCATATCATTACTTTTTTTTCAATTAGGTATAAAATTATTACATACGGGCAACAGAATATATTAATGTAATAATAAATGGGCATGCTGCAACAAAACCAGACAAAGTGAACATTCTATAAATGAGGGACTGATTATGATTGTGATGTGACTGCAAAATTGATCGGGGTGGCTGATGATGTTTTTTGCCTTGTTGATTTTAATGCTCCCTTTATTATACCAAAATGGGATGATTATAAACCATAACAGGATTAATATAGGATTGCCTCAATATTAACATGAAACTAATTTACAGTAAATCCTCTATGGAACCCAAGAATTACAGCACAATTAGAAGTGTTTTAAAGAAAGAGCAAGGAGAAAAAATTGCTCCCTATTATATATTATATTTTTTAACTTACTTCTTAACTTTCAACCAACTTCATCTCTTAGGTTCCTTAACTTCAATTTGAGTAATGTGACCATTCTGTTGTTCTTTACTCAAAAGGGATTAATCCCAAAAAACTTTTATCAAAAAATTTTCGAAAGAAAGGAAAATTTTTCGCCCTTTTAGTTCATTTTTTAAGAAAGAGAGGAAATTATTGCCATTTTTTTAGCAGAAACAAGCCTTAATTGTTTATTTTCTTCTTTTAATTTAGCATTCTCTGCTTCTAGTTTTTTAATCCGCTTGATTTTCTCATCACCTCATTCTTTTGATTTGTCATGAAATTTAACTACTTCTTTCCTCCCAATATTTAATTCTTCTTTAGCACTTGTTAGTTCTTTTTCCAGTTTTCTAGTTTTTTTTTTCCAAACGATAGCCAAAAGTTCTAGATGTTATTTCTTCTGTAGAAAGTGATTGTATTGGTTTATTCTCTAACAGATTACAAAAGCAACC